CACGTGCTTTTTGGTTGCTAAATACAGTACAATAGCAGTGTGTCATGATTTTAGAAAGATACCAGCCCAGTGGCATTAGTCAGAATCATTAGCGTGTGAATAGAAATTATTTTTTAACAAGTATATTAGTATGTGTTGTATTGGTGTATTTTTGGTTTGTGGAGATATTTCAATTTGTGTTTTTTAAATGGGGTGGGTGAGGGGTCCAAATATGTTACAGTGGGTTAGCACCACCCATGAGTAAGCTTATATGTTTCCATTTTAAATTTACACACAACTCCAAGAGCTAAAGAAAGCTGAAATATTGAATTGAGATGGAAAACTGAACAGCCTGAAACTTTTACAGAATAAAAAATATTAAACAAATGGAAAACTTTAAACTACACCAACCTTGAAAAACAAAGTTTGAGATTTTAGCTAACAAAAAAGCATCAAAAATCACCAGAAGTTTATCAGCAAACACAAGGTAAAAAAAAATACAAAAAATGTAGTTTTAATAATGCAGAACAAACAATTAGTCCTGAACACAAATACAAAATAAAATATTTCAGTAATATCACCAAATATTGGTTCATATAATTACTTAAATAAATTAGGTATGATTTCTGATCTATAGTATTTTAAAAAATAGTAGCAAAGTAATAAAAGTATTGCTTTACACAAATGATACAAGTGAAAGCAGTCAACAATGTTTGTGTGATGTGTATATATTGAGTGGTTTACCATTTTGTTCTAAACCTCTGAATGTAACAAACTGTAGGTCTGAATCCACCCAAAACCTGCACTGACATCAAAACATTCTGGTTTAACAAATTAATCCTTTCATAAATATACATACTGAACACCTAAGAACCAAGAAAAATTTACTAGTGGGCATATCAAGTATACCCTTATGGTAAGAAGGGGGTTAACAGATTCTGGTGTACCGAAACATCACTTGATAGATGATGCGTATTAATGTCTTCCTGCCAAAATGAGTATCAACATTGTGAAAAATTTATCATAATGGGGGCAGATTTTAGGATTACTCACGTGACAAAAACCAAGCAATTTCTTATTTGGTCTTAAAAAATTACATCCAAATCCCTTTCAGCTCCATCCACTCAAAAGAATACAATTAAATGGTATATGAATAACAAAACTTGCTTAAAAATCACCTTCTATGGATTTACAACTTGTGGGGGTTGGACTTTGGATCCTGATTTCTGGAACTACTCCTTCAGCTTCTCGTTTGCAAGAACAATAGGTCAAAAGTCCATTTATTTTTTTTGTCAGTGTTGAAATTATAGTTGAACTGGTTTGTCCCTGAAATTTATTGTAGTTTATCATCATTTCTGACATAAAATAATCCATATAACTTCAATGAACTTTAAACAGATATTCAATACTATTGCTACATACATTTAAAAATTGTTCTTCAAAGTCATAGTTTTCAGCATAACATTAACATAGTTCACTCACCTGCATGTCCAAACTTCTCTTTTCTATGCTTAGGTCTAAAGACAAATATCTGTGAAATCTTTACTGCTTTTACTTCAAAACCTAATTTTGCAACTTCACTAATAGGAATTTTACTGCAAAAAAACATATATTTTTCTCTATGTATAATCAGCACTCGTAACTATTTTATAAGTATATATTGGAAACAACTTTTAATAATATGTTTCCTTGTTGGTAGTTTCAGTTGAATTAAAATAACACCTCCAATCAAGAAATTAAACTTTTTCAGTTTCTAATTTTTAGGTACCCAAGCTTTCCTGTTTCCACATCATGTAGATTTATATCTAAAATAGCTTTAAGCCTACTTATATGTATATCATCAGGTTAGCTATTAAAGAGAACATGATTTTATGATTTCATTATTCTTAAAATACAGTAACAATTAAAGAAGATAGGATTACCTGATTTTATTACCCTGAACACAAATTAATTATTAAAGAGGATAGAATATTTTGATTTCATTATTACAAACACAAAGTAACTATTAAAGAACATTTTATTATTTTATTACCCTGAATACAAAGTGACTATTGTAGAGGATTTCATGATTTTACTACCCTGAATACAAAGTGACTATTGTAGAGGATTTCATGATTTTATTACCCTGAATACAAAGTTACTATTGTAAAGGATTTCATGATTTTACTACCCTGAATACAAAGTGACTATTGTAGAGGATTTCATGATTTTACTACCCTGAATACAAAGTGACTATTGTAGAGGATTTCATGATTTTATTACCCTGAATACAAAGTTACTACTGTGAAGGATTTCATGATTTTATTACCCTGAATACAAAGTTACTATTGTAAAGGATTTCATGATTTTACAAAGTGACTATTGTAGAGGATTTCTTGATTTTATTACCCTGAATACAAAGTTACTATTGTAAAGGATTTCATGATTTTACAAAGTGACTATTGTAGAGGATTTCTTGATTTTATTACCCTGAATACAAAGTTACTATTGTAAAGGATTTCATGATTTTACAAAGTGACTATTGTAGAGGATTTCATGATTTTACTACCCTGAATACAAAGTGACTATTGTAGAGGATTTCATGATCTTATTATCCTGAATACAAAGTGACTATTGTAGATGATTTCATGATCTTATTATCCTGAATACAAAGTGACTATTGTAGATGATTTCATGATCTTATTATCCTGACAGATCATCTAGTACAGAAATTGAAGGGAAGATGGTAAGGTTTCATGAACTGATTCTTTAGTGAAATATTTTACTAAAAAGTAGCAAATGAAAGGGTATAGGTAAATCATTAAGATTAATTTTACTGAGACATTGTTGTTTTTATTTTTGATAGATTTAGATGTTTTCAGGTTATAAGCTTCAAGTTAATCATACTGACCCACACTAAACATACATATCACCTCCGACCTGCATTAATTAACCTTTAATGACTTTATCAGTAACATATTATGTAAATATGCAAACAGATTTTAAATTCCTCAACTCGTCACTATTTAGAAAAATCATTCTTTCACACCTTCTTGGCCAGTTCTAACAAGGTAATGGATCAAAGCATTCAATTTACCAAAAGACAGTAGTGAAATCCTCATAAAAAAAACTGAAATGTTTAGTGATGTAAAATCTGGTACAACTGATTTAGCCTGGCTGATGAAATCTGATATTAAAAATAAAGTAATTGAAAATTTTTGAGTAGCTCTTAATATATCTTTCCAGTTTAAAACTGTTCGTTTTCATCAACATTTTTAAATCAACAAATACAGTTAAAGAAATGTTTTTTTAAACTATATACATGCCAATTATTAACACTGTTCACGACAATATTTCCTCAGCTTGGAGATAACATCATAATAAGTTACTAAAGCAAAAAGGTACATCATTCCCAGAATATATATTTTAAGAAAATATTTTCATTGTAATTCAATTTTAGTCAGATGGCATTGATAGTTTACAGCTCATTAGCATACCAAATTCATCTTATTCATAAAGAGAATGAAACACTAACTTCTCTGTCATCTCATAAGCAAAAGAAATTCTCACAAACCTTTTAACAGAATATATATAGCAAGCCTTTTAAGCCACATAAAAAATCTTGGGATTATTATGGTTATATATACAATAAAGTTATATTACACTATCAAAACCTTCAATTTAGGCAAGAAGAACAAAATCTGGCATGTTTTCTACCCGCTGTTCCATAATATATTATCAATAAAATTTTTGTTTGTTTTAATACAAGTATTCTTTTATTTTTTAATACTTTCATCATTTTTTTTATTTTATCTCATTGATTTGGTTCTTGATAAAACTACTACTCATTAAACTAATTTACTGATGTAAGTCTGTTTCTCTATTGTTTTACATGTTTCAACAACATACAATATGACTCACCCTATCCAGTGTATGGCAATTTTAATGTTCTCAGCAATTGAAAAAAGTTTTTTTCTAAATAATTACAAACATATTTTCAAATAGTTCTTCTTTACCATTTGTTAAAATATAATGCAGTATGTATATGTCAAAATCTTGCAAACAAATATCAAATACATCCATTATAAGACCTCGTGTATTCCTTTATCTTACCTCCCCCTCTCTCAGACCCTCACTGTTAAAGGAGTTCAACAGCAAAGCAAGAAAAAGATTTAGTACAAGAAAGTTACCCACTAGGAGAGTGGATACAAAGAATGTAATACACAGTTCTCGTTTATAACTGGACGCCTTCATACAGTCCCAAAGACACTCAACCCACTCCCCACAGAGAACTCTGAACACCATCAGGAGAGAATGAACAAAATCTGTAAAGTTCCACCTGAAATAGCATTGAACCAATGTTTATGATTGGCTTACAAGACACATCACTTAAAATGTAAAACTAATCATGTTTATAATTGGCTGATAAGACACATCACTTGAAATGTAAAACTAATAATTTTTATACCATTTCAATCATACAGGATCCTAAAATTAAACCTTTCCTCTTTCATTTCATTGGGATACCATTTCAATCATACAAGATCCTCAAATTAAACCTTTCCTCTTTCATTTCACTGGGATACCATTTCAATCATACAGGATCCTAAACTTAAACCTTTCCTCTTTCATTTCATTTAATTTACTTAAGCTCATTATTTTTACTTATCATTCTGATTCTTCATAAACTATCTTTGCCCTTTAATAGAGAACATATTCAAACTTTTTATCAATCATCATGTTTACAGTCCTAATTAAGCCTCTCCTTTTTCATAATCCTTGTGATCCTAAATATTACTGATGTCTCTGATGATGATCTTTCATTAAATTACTCTTATTTGTTATATAATTATTTCAAGTTCCTTCTAAACAAAATAAAGCATTTCCTTTTTAAAAAAAAGACATCTTACAAGTTTAAGTTCTTGAAAATACAATTTGATTTCCTTCAATTTTTATGAAGGTATCTTTAATTAGTTTAAACTGCCTAAATTAGACCTTTTACTTAGAGAAATTCAAAATTTCAAAGGATTAAAAACTTTAGAATAATCAAAAACTACTCTCTACATAGGTAAAAAAATAATGACCTATGTTTCCAGAATGTAGTTTTATTAGCTCAATATGTCACTATTATAGCTTCGTCAGGTGCTACTCGTAAAGTTTAAACAAAGCTTCAAATGGATTAGTGAACCTGTAGGATATCGATATTAGCTCAATATTTCTCTATTACAGCTTTGTCAGGAGCTATCGATATCCTACAAGTTCACTAATCCATTTGAAACTTTGTTTAAACGTTACGAGTAGCACCTGATGAAGCTATAATAGTGACATATTGAGCCAATAAAGATACATTCTGGTGATATAGTCATTATCTTATTTACTTTAATAGAAATGTCTCAGTTTGTGTTAAATAAAACGAAGAATACAAGCTATTCTCTACAAACCTTGGGATAGGATGAGGAGCAAATCTTTCTGCAGTGTAAATATCTGAGAAGAGCTGCATTCCAAGGACAGCAAAAATATAGATGACTAATGCCAGCACAATGGTCATGTGACCAACAGCTCCAAGAGTCTTGATTACAATTTTCAGAAGCAGCCGCATCGTTGGCCAGGAACGAGCCAGTTTCAAAACTCTAAGCTGAAATTGAATTTCATTTAAAAAACAACTCTTGCTTAGTTTTAAATATAGAATTACAATTACACTCTAAAAGTGAGAGAGACAGAGAGTTAATTGAAGTTTCACATTTTCTGCCCATTTATCAAAGTAACACCTACAGAACTGCTCGAAAGAATTCCACAAGTTCGAGTCATCTCAGTTAGGCTGACAATTTTTTTTTCATTAAATGTAATTTCTCTGGGTAGTAACTTTAAGTCATGAAACATTACAATGGAAACACAACCTACTAAGAGAGTTTAAAAGTTACAATAAAGAAGTCAAAAAAATATATGGAATATCTGACTACTTACCAAACGAAACATGCGGAGAACTGACAAACCACTAACAGTTTCGAGGGCTAAGTCTGCAAGGCTCACTGCAACAATTATCAGGTCAAATATGTTCCACTTACAAGAGAAGAACTTTACTCCAAGGGCAACTAGTTTGATGAGAGCCTCTATGGCAAAAACTACAGTAAAGACCTGTAGAAACATCAGTTCACATAACAGACCACAAATTTAAAATTATTCACAGAATATAGAAGTGAAAATATCTTTAATGAAAAAGACAACCTTAAAACTGCTGGCTTTTAAACATCCGTTTTTTTAAATTACAAATCCAAATTAAAAAAGTTAAGAAATTTTTTGATAAATACAGCATTTCCAATGAATCTTTATAAAAACTCCTACTGCCCTGTTTGAAAACTAAACTTGTCTTTAAGTTAAATATACAATAAAGTTAACTGAGTGTCAAGCAACATTCACAAACAGCATTACAAAAATGGATGAAGACACATATTGTATGTGTTATTACATAATTTCTAAAACACACTTTTACATGTCTAAAGAAATTAAAAATGAGCTGTATACTTCCTTGGCAGAAGTTATAGGAAAAATCTAATATATTAGTTAACACAAACTACTTACTCATTCAGTATAATTGTATAGCAAAAATTACTGGCCAGGTTTTCTTATAATTATTATGTTATTATCTTCTGATTACAGACCTCCCCTTTGGGACTTGAAATTAAACTCTTTAAGAATGCAGTCAGTTATGAGATGTAACTATGAATATTATGAAAATTTAAGGTTGTGAAAATAAAAAACATAGTGAAAAGTAACAAGGATGTACTTTTAGCTTCTTGCTATACTATAAAGGGAACATCATTGTTACAGTCCATAAACTTTCAACTACTTAACTACATAGGATGATAGACTCATCACCTACATTACTATAACACTCAATAAACTTTCAACTACTTAACTACACAGGATGATAGACTCAACATCTACATTACTATAACACTCAATAAACTTTCAACTACCTAACTACATAGGATGATAGACTCAACATCTACATTACTATAACACTCAAAAAACTTTCAACTACTTAACTTCACAGGATGATAGACTCAACATTACTATTACACTCAATAAACTTTTAACTACTTAACAACACAGGATGATAGACTCAACATCCACATTACTATAACACTCAAAAAACTTTCAACTACTTAATTATACAGGATGATAGACTCAACTTCTACATTACTATTACACTCAATAAAGTTTCAACTACACAAGATCATAGACTCATCATCTAGTTAGAGAAACTTGCTTGGATAATTTTGATGTTGAATGAGGTTTAGGTGCACACCTGACAATCTTCATCACATCCAAATAACAGCATGCTTTTGATGAATTGTTACTCAAAGTTCTCCAAGCAGGTTATCCACAAAAGTATTAATCAACCTTACTCCACCTACTAAGAACACGTAAGGTTTTACCTTTTTATTCATGTGTTTCAAAAATTCACAATTTTCTAATAACTCCCGAGATTATTTTTTTTGTGTCACATTCTAAATTAGTATGCATTGCTGGTTATGACTGACTCCAGAAATGCAAGGAGAAAGTTTGTGAATTTCATTTAAAAAAATTATATTTGCAATTTACTGAAAAGATAAGCTATAATACAATACAATATTTTCTGCTTTGTTTTTTAAAAGATGCAGAAACAATAAACAACATGATCAAACAATTAATTTCCTTAAGAATATAACCTTTTTTTCATCTTACCAAGTTTCCAAGGCTGAGAGTGTATGCCATACTAGAGGGCATTCCATGGTGCTCAGAAGCAAGCAAAGCTGTGTTGAGTACGATACAACAAGTAATACTCAACTCAAACAAAGGATGTTCAACAACGAGCTGGAGATACTTCCGAACCTGGAAACAAACATTGTGTCAGAAGTCATGCTACTTCTATCACCCTGATCCAGTTTCGATCAAATATAATTAAGAACTTTTAACTTCACAGATTTCAAATTGATTTTACTTTCAGAGTTTAAAAAGATTAATAAGAGGATTCTATAAATTAGTAGAGCACAATTAATTAAGTTATTTTTAAGCAACTGAAAGAACTGTAGTTGTTAACGTTACACGTACGGGTACTAAAGGAAACATAATTTAAGATGCTTGTTTCTGATTGTTTGTTTTTTTTCTTATTAGCAGCAGTTCTCTTCTCTTTGGATAAGAAAAATAAGGTAAACACAACATAATATTAAATAACTTAAATCAAAAAACCTAAAAGCATGGAATACTGCATAGTAGAAACAAAGAAAAACCCTACTTTTGTAACATTATTATTCCGTTGGGCAGGTTCTTTTAAATTAATCGAACATCTAGTCCATTTAACAATAATAAATTTGTTTTACTTCCTCCTTAACGTTTTCCTATAGGCTTTTACACTTTGTAAGTTGTCATAGGCCTACATTTACAGCCACACTATCAGCACTACACTAACAAAAAAAACAACTTATTTGTACAAGATAATTCAATATATGTGATAGCGAACATAGATGCAAAAACATAAACACACTGATTGATTTACACTATTGACTAGAAAACCAATCTCTATCTTCACTATTTCACTGCAAGCTTACCTAGCTAATTATAATCTAATCCTTGTTCTAGATATTTCACAAAATTTCCAGGTTTTCATGACATCAATATTCTAGGCCTACGATCACATACTTACTTGATCTTAATGTCCTGAGCCCTCTAGCTAGTATCTAAGTTATAAAATAAAGAATATAGCTTACAACACTATACATAAGTTACCATTTTCAAAGAGACATATGCTGTATCAAAGCACCTATTCTTTGCCTGAATGTCATTCCATGCTTGTCTAGGTTGTGTCCTTATATTACTATTATCCTCAAGCCCCGATATACTAGAATCATCCACATGTAACTGTCGCCTGAGTTTCCATCTTTGAAAGTGAGTACGTCTGCTAGGAAGATGCTCCCCCACACTCATCACCAAGTCAGGTGCAACACCAAATGGATGCGACTCACCCACAGTTTCACTGGAAAGTGAAAAGTTGCCTGGACTCCAAGGCCCTGATGGGATTAAAGACGAAGCCCCATCAGAGGTAGAGTATAATGGCTCTTGGTTAGAATCAGAATCCTCATGCATACCGAGACTAAGAGATGATGTTAAATCATGCTCAGTATTAGTTACAATCAGTTGCTGTGGTTCCTCCAGAGAGTTAGACTTAGATCTGAATCTCGAGAGCAAAGATGCAAGTGGAGAAAGCATTTTCTTGCATTCTGATTCCTTGACCTGCAATTGAACAAACAAAAAATATGCAGATATCTGGAGCATAAAGAAAAAAATATAAAATGAATGTCTGCTAACTAATCGTTATAACAAAGCAAAAACCTTTTACACACTTAAGTTGGAGAACACATAAACAATGTAATTCTAACTGTATATCTGAATTATGGTGTACATTCCTTTGTAATAGAATTATAAGTATTGCTTACCTAAATCAAAGTGTTTCTGGGACAGAATAGTAACTGTTGCTTACATGATGTATAAAGTCTGTGATATAAGACTGAAAACTGCATACCCAAGTTAGATTCAACTTGTCAAAAAACCCAAAATTTGGTAAATTATTTGTTTGTTCATAAAATAATATCAGTTACACTGTTTGTGACAACAAAACAGTTTTTAGTTAAGACTGAAATTAAGACGTATTAATGGTCTGTTTCAGGAAAATTTTCCCTCAGCTATATTTTATTCACTCACTTCCTGAAGTCAAAGAAGAAATGTAAAAAAATAAACACAAAAGAGTATGGACAACTGGAAACTAAAGCTAGTAAACTTCTCAAGAACATAACAAAATTAGGTTACAATATTAAACAAAAGCAAGAAATATTCTATTACTATTTAAAAGTGATATACAACTTCAAATAAAATACTTCCTGTTTTTTACTGTAACATTATCAGTGTCAGTATACATACATCTGGGTTACCACACTATTAAAATATTTTTCTGAATTTAGAACAGAAGAAAGTACCTTAAATCCAAGAATCTGGTATCAAACCGTATCTGGCTGGCAAAATATCATTATGCAGCGTACTTACAACATATTATAAAAAATAACAGTAAATAAATAAAATACCATAAAATTTGTAATTTGGTGATTCCCACTTTTGTTGAGATTTTGTTCCTTAGAATGTAAATTTTATCATGAGATCTAGAAAACAATATGAATGTTTTTACTTCCACCAATTCAAAACATTATGTTAAAAATCACACTAACTTTAAATTACGTGTGTCTCACATGGTATTAGCCTTTCAGTTCACTAACCTTTCTATGCTGACTTCTAACTCGAAGCAAGTGTAAAATGGTGTGATTAACAGCACCTTTTAATTAGAGACAATTCTGTTAACACTTTTTTTAGATACAAAGTGAATATAATATTAATTATTCTTTACTTTTAGTATTTTTTAGGCTACTATATAGGACTACCTCCAGTATTTCTTAAGTTGTTATAATCAATCACAAGAGTTAAAACTATAATAAAAAGACACACGATCAACCCAACTTCAGGAAATATGAAGGGTTTGATGATCATATTAAGACCTAACAAATAACAACTGCTGTATACCTGAGTTATTGTTTTTGTACTGGCAGCTTCAGCTTCATAAGCAATAGCCACAACAGCCAGAGTTAAGTTGACTAGGTAGAAAGACCCAAAAAAGATGACTACTGTAAAGAACAGTACACTAGCTGGACCAGTGGCAGCAATGAGCTGAAATATTAAATCCAAAATATATTTTGTAAATATGAACTAAACTGAAAAGTAATACATCATCTTTTGTACTACCCTACAATTACAGACATTTTCTTAAATTGTAATTTTTAATAAATCACAGTTCTTTACATTGTTCTAATGTTTTCTACGTTTGGGCAAGTTTTTCTGGATTATTCAGTATAAATAATAATAAAGAGTATACCTAACAATAGCAGAACATTTCTTGTTTTTCATTTTGAGTAACCAAAATTCTCTAATATGCTTAATTTCACAAGTAAACTACACCTAAACAGAAGTTCTACTTAATTGCTCATTTAGTATCTCTGCTTCGTCATTGAAACACAAACTCAATATTCACAGCAACAAACTGTTTAAATGGCTAGCAGTAGCAGAGAAGCTGATTAAATCGTGCTCAGATTACTCTTTAATTACCTAACAAACATTCCAACACAGCTAGTAATACATACAGCCTAATATATGGTTCAAATTGTTTCCTTAACTAAGCCTAATTCACATTTTATATGTCTCAAATTGTTTCCTTAACTAAGCCTAACTTAAATTTTATATATGGCTCATATATGTTTCCTTAACTATGTAGAAAGTTCCAGATATTAAGATCATACCCGTCACATTACATTAAATTTCTATCTGACTTAACAACAATATAAATTTCTAGAAACATGTAGGTTAAAAACGGAGACTATAATAGCATGCTAATACTAAAACATCCTTAATAAAGTTCCAGATATTAAGATCATACCTGTCACATTACATTAAATTTCTATCTGACTTAACAACAATACAAATTTCTAGAAACATGTAGGTTAAAAACGGAGACTATAATAGTATGCTAATACTAAAACATCCTTAATAAAGTTCCAGATATTAAGATCATACCTGTCACATTACATTAAATTTCTATCTGACTTAACAACAATACAAATGTCTAGAAACATGTAGGTTAAAAACAGAGACTATAATAGTATGCTAATACTAAAACATCCTTAATTGATGTTTTCTATGGAGTTTCGGCAAAATTACCCATCCAGGCTTAAAATTATAATTCAGTGAAACCACAACTTAGCAGGGAGATTAGGATAAAACAAAACGTATGATCCTTATATCCCAAAGGCAATCTCAACACCTTCAGCAAAGCTGGACTAAGCCTTCAACAATCCTCCAAAAAGTATTATCTTTTCTAGTTTATCACAAATTTTAAATTAAGTAAAAAATAAATAAATGTTATCAGCTTTCAAAGGATGTTTCTAGCATAAAATAACAAGTGAATGAAAACAAAAATTCTTAATTTCTTTATAAAATAATAAAATAATTCCACATCAGAACAATTCAACAAGTTACAAATATCACTATTGTATAATAAATAGTAAACTTGTTGAGAGAAATTCATACTAAGATATGTGAAGAAAAAAAGTAAACATCACAACACAATAAACTGCCAAATTAAAAGTGACAGTTCAGTAGAAGTGAATAGAGGGAGTCACATGCATCAGGAGAGAGTGTCACACTCCTATTGGTGGAGGGTTGTTGCATGATGATTTACATGCAAGACACCATTGAACCATTTGATTGTAAGGTACATAGTAGCTCAAGGCTTGTGACATGGGAAAAAAAAAAAAGTTCCATATAGAGGGCAGCACTGAATGAGAATAGTTATTTATATGAGAAGAGGTAATGTACTGTTTCAAAAACAACAATTCTTAATTTCTTTATAGTACTGAAAGATGAAATTACTAACACCTAACTAAAGGATAAACAAAAAACGTAAAATTACACTAACTCATTATTAGATTACACATATAATAAGTAATATTACTTACCTTATTATAATAATAATATAATATAATAATAAAATAATATTATTTACCTTATTATAAACATCTTCCCAATAGTCCACAGTGATTAGCTGCAGTGTTGTTAGAACTGACCAGCCAAACGTGTCAAAATTGGTGTAACCATAATTTGGATTTTCTCCCACATCGTCTCGACATAAGAATGGAGCAGGACAAGACCTGAAAAACCATGATATTCACCAAAACATCATTACGAACTACGTATTTCATAAAGAAATTAAATAAAAAGTCATACGAAAATGAAACACTAATTTTAATTGTGCCTTAATTATCATTGATAAATATCATCTTAAACAGAAAACTACTTCATTTTGCTAATAAATATCGTATAACTGTTTATATTACATTATAGAATCAAAACTGAAACCAACCCTTAAGTCTTCAGTTAACTCACTAAGCAGGCAAATATGTAATAAAATCTGATAACAATTTTAAATAAAGCTCACAGGGAAAGAAAGAAAGTTACAGATGCATAAATTTAATGATCAAACTAGTTTTGCAGTATCTAAACAACAGTCAATATTTTTATCCAGGAACTTAACATTTCCTAAGAAAGATTCTTCAACTTAAGATTGCTGTGACAGGTTTTCTAAAAATTATAAAGAAGGCAGACAATTTCAGAGATAATTAATGGCAATAACAGTAGGACAGGGGACACAAATATAAATTTTGGCAAGGTAGGAGTCATTTTCAGCTAAGACAGTTATATTTTTCTAACAGGGTAGTTGGCCTCTGGAATGGGTTGCCTATGGATGTTGTGGAAGCAGTAAATTTAAGTGGGTTTAAGAAAAAGCTTGATAACTACATGAATGATAAGAGCTGGCTTTAAGATTTTTATTTATTTCATAGTTTTAGTTTAGTTTAAAGGATGGGACAGCCAAGATGGATTAATAGGTCCCTTGTTGTCCCTAAACATTATGTTATGTTAATTTGTAATACCAGAGTGTCATAATGACTACAAGGGCAATAACCAAAGAATGCTGAATGTACTCCTCAAGTATGTTCATCCTGTAAATGTGTACCTATCAAGTACATTATATTTTTAATTGATAAACAAAAGGGATTGAAAGAAATAACATAATTTAAAACAGAACTGGAATGAGAAAAATTAGTTAATAAAGAATAATTTTTCTTTTACATAAGTGAACAAATGGAATAGCAGAACATAAACTAGCAGTCAAACATGACCAATAATCTTAACAATTAACAATTGTCACCACTCTAGTTCTCCGTTAGGAATAACAGTTTGTCAACATTTCGTGGACTCGTCTGGTTTCTTCATTTTGCAGTAAGTTGTCCTATGGTACATACTGAACATACACTCACTTGTAGTTGAATTAATTTATATACTTAAATATTTTCTAGCTCAATGAGAAGACATGATATGCAGTTATGTTTCTACCACTGTAAAAATCAGATCTGTACATTTCCAAAAAAACTCTACTAAATATTAAAGATTAAGACTTCTTAGACTAAATACCCCTTCATCTTTAACCTGGCACATTCAATTGTTATTTCTCTTCTAAACCTTGGTACTTAAAAGTTCCAAAAGCATGTCACAGCCCTCCTCAACTAACCAGTCTTCTGTTTTAATGCACTTAGCACTATTCAATTTAAAATCAAGTTCAATCTCTGGCAGTTGAAGATAACTTGAATTGCTATCTTCAGTATGGCCATCAGTAGCAAACTCATTATTATTGAAGGACATGTTTTTTTGGCAAGCAGCAATAGTGGAAGTTTTGAGTCTATTTAATAAGCTGGTCATGTTTAATTTTCTTCAAAAACTTATGATCTAGCTTCATGTTTAAGGCAGTTGTTGGTTCTTCTTCTACATATTTCTGGGACATATCAACTGTTGAATTCCTAATTGTTTCAATCCATGATAACAACCTTCAGTTGTTGGTTCTTGTCCTACATATCTCTGGAGCATATCAACTGTTGGATTCCACCTTGTTTCAATCATGATAACAACCTTCAGTTATTGGTTCTTGTTCTACCTATCTCTGGAACATATCAAGTGTTGGATTTCACCTTGTTTCAATCATGATAACAACCTTCAGTTATTGGTTCTTGTTCTATATATCGCTGGAGCATATCAACTGTTGGATTCCATCTTGTTTCAATCATGATAACAACCTTCAGTTGTTAGTTCTTGTTCTACCTATCTCTGGAGCATATCAACTGTTGGATTCCACCTTGTTTCAATCCATGATAACAACCTTCAGTTATTGGTTCTTGTTCTACCTATCTCTGGAGCATATCAACTGTTGGATTCCACCTTGTTTCAATCCATGATAACAACCTTCAGTTATTGGTTCTTGTTCTACCTATCTCTGGAGCATATC